TTCAAGGACAGAGACTGTGTTTATTTACTTTCTTCCTAGGTCTTCCTTTCTTCATTTGCTAAATAGGCGTACTACATCTCTAAACTTAGAACACTATGATGCTAATAGTCATGAAAATAACTCTAGTTCAGTTAGTTCTTCTCATAATACTAGAAGTAGTGCTTAAAATTCATAGTGCTTAAAATTCATCAAGCATGTCCTTAGCACTTGATTTTTATTCCATTATCTAATATTCACAATGACTCTTTGAAGTAGGTATTATTACAGTTTCCATTTTTTATTGTAGAGGAAACTGTGCCACAAAAAGTTTAAGTTTAGTAAGTTCCCAAGGTATTGTTATTATTATTTTAACTCAAGTGTGGGAGTTAAAATTTGAAGTTGGCTTCAGAATACAGTTGCATGCGTGTGATGTGCACTGCCTCTCAGTGGCTCTCCACTAAGATCGTGCTGCTTCTACAGATGGTNTATTATTACAGTTTCCATTTTTTATTGTAGAGGAAACTGTGCCACAAAAAGTTTAAGTTTACTAAGTTCCCAAGGTATTGTTATTATTATTTTAACTCAAGTGTGGGAGTTAAAATTTGAAGTTGGCTTCAGAATACAGTTGCATGTGTGTGATGTGCACTGCCTCTCAGTGGCTCTCCACTAAGATCGTGCTGCTTCTACAGATGGTACTGCATATATTTGAGCCCCCTGGGTTTCTTTCCGTCTTTCAAAAGAGAAGAAGACCCAAAGAATGTTTCTTATCTATGAAGCATAATTCGGAGAGCAACACATGCACACATTCTCAGGAATGAAACTGTCAATCAAGTAGGAGGGAGATGCTGTCAAGCACAGAGAGGTCCCCTCATTGGGAAGGAACACAGACTATGCGATCCCAGCCATCGGATAATTGGCTGGATGACCACTGACAACAAGATTGCACCTCAGTATCCTACTCTTTAAATGCAGGTATTAGCATAACATATGGATTGTGGTATGCCCACATAAAATAATACTTATGAAAAGAATCGTGAAAAAAAACCAACAAAAAAAAGCACCTTGTGAAAGCTGGCACACTGGAAATTTTCATTCAAATTGTTTCCTGATACCTAAAGTTACTTACAGAAATTTGCCCATTTAACAACTGCATTCCTACAATTGAAAAACAATTAGGTTTTTGTTATTGTTGCTTTTGTTGTTTGTATTGAGCTATTTCATCTTTAACATTTTTGTTTGTGTGGTTGTTTTACCGGTTATGAATATTCATGGGGTACAAAGCTGACTGTCACCACTCGTGCCCAAGATGTGATTGCCAGATCCATATTGGCCGCATGCCCATTACCACAAATTGCAATTGTATCCCATGTCGCCACCCAATTATCCATGACCACCCTCCCCATCTGTCTTTCCCCCACTCCACTTTGTATCCCTAGGTATGTTCTCTCCCTCCACAAGTCCAAATACCCTGTGGCCTTTCTTTCTTTCCTTCTTTCTCTCTTCACTCCCACTTATGGAATGAGAACATGTGGTATTTTTCCCTCTGTGCTTCGCTTATTTCACTCAACCTAAGTTTCTCCAAGCTCATCCATGTTGTTGCAAGTGGCAGAATTTCATTCTTTTTATGGCAGGGTAGGTACTCCATGGTGTATATACACCACATTTTCCTTATCCGATCATCCATCAATGGACATTTAGGTTGGTTCCATATCTCTGCTGTTGTAAACAGAGCTGCAAGAAACATGGGAGTGCAGGTGTCCCTTTGACCTGATGATTTCCATTCCTTTGGGTATACACTTAGAAGTGGGATTGCTCGATTGTATGGAAGTTCTATCTGTAGTTGTTTGAGAAACCTCCACACTGTTTTCCATAGTGGCTGTACTAATTTACAGTCCCACCAACAGTGTAGGAGTGTTCCCTTCCCTCCACACCCTTGCCAGCATTTGTTAGTCTCTGTCTTTTTGATTATA